TGATATCTTCCATGAGCAACCTGGATTTCCAAACTATATTAGATGGAACTCATAAGTGAAGCTGTGGGTTGGATCAGTTATGGATACCTATCTTGCATGATTGAACTTACCACTTGGACTGCAGAACCCTGCTGTAAATTGTAATTGCTTTTATAGTTTGCTTTGCTCCCTCTCTGTCCCAAGATGGCAAGTTTTTCTTCTTCTTCACATGCATATACAATATATATTGCTTGCAGCTTTTCATCAAACATTAATCAAATGACTTTATTCCTTGTTTTGTGTTTTTTCTAGGAACTTGGCCCTCCTTGATGTTCATGTCATTGTCTCTTTGACAATACATAGATTTTGTTCTTATTTTGTGTGGCCTAAAGCGGCCATGAAGTCGTTATTGTCTAGGGTAGTGAATTCCCATTAGTTCTCATGTGGAACATCAAGAATTAAGTTTCATTGAAGTAGTGTCGTGTACGATCTGATGGCTTTTCTGTGCTAGCTAGGTCCTTTGATCAACAAATGTAGCACTATTTAAACTGTTTATTTATTTTATGCATCTTTTATTTTCAAAAAACAAAAAATGCAGCACTATGATTTATCAATCCATGGCTTTGGTTGGATACGATTATTATACTTTTTAAAAAATTTGATATATACTTATGGATCAAATTATATTTATGCATTAAGTTGGTATACATAGATAAAATTTACATGTAAAAGAAAGTTATATGATGGTTTATCAAATCATGTAAGAAATACAACTATACAACCATACAAAATTACCAATCGTGGTCCACATTCTTCAAGTACATCTCCTCAGTTGATTTCAAGCATAACTCCTCAGTTATTGCCCGACAGATGTTAGTCCCGTACGTAGACTCGATCTGCATTGTTGCAGTTGGAACTGGGAAGCTAAGAAGACCATACGGTGTCCAGTGGTCCATAATCCTTGATACATGGAAACTATACAGGAAAAGATAGCCATGTGTTGAATCTGAGGTTGAAACAAAAATTTCATCATGGCCAGAGTTAGGGGGAGTGACCACAAGCTCCAAAAGTCCTAAAAAATTAGGGTTCTTCCCCTGTAAGGAAATTGATGAAAATTTTCAGATATCTGATTTATAAACTAAAACATTTGCCCCAACAAAGTTTGCATGTGGATAAAGTTCGCCTCATAGATATTCTTCCCCAGTCTTTGAATTTTGTGCATTGAACACCATGTATAGATATCCAATCTTGTTGGGCTCTGGGAGAGCCAAACTTGGGGAGAATTTAACCATGAGTTAGAATGGGAACCACAACCATGGGCTTGACACTACATCCAAATCCAAAACCTTAAGGCATTGGGTCTATGGATCATTCCCACTTATATGTTCCTCATTCTACTCATCTCACTACAAGAAAAATGTCCTATTATGACATACCTATAAGGACACTTTTTTGTAAGTGTCATTTTACATGTTTTATGAAGACATAAAAAAGTGAGTGTCATAATAAAATAACATGAACCAAATACCATTGCACTTTGTTTTATATTTTTCTAAAGGGATAATTTCAGAAACCTCAGAAACCTCCCCTGAGGTTTCTGACAATTTCACTGACCTCCCCTGAGGTTTCCACAATTACACTGACCTCCCCTGGCAGAACTTGGGACCCAATTGCTGACATCATATAATGCAAAATTACTATTATACCCAAGACATTTTGTGTTTTGGATAGTATTGGATTGCATTTCTATTTATTTAATGTATGGTTATGAAATTTGTAATGATATTACTCTTGGATTGCAGCTTTGGTTTGCACCTTATTACTGTTAAGGTTTTATAAATGATTGTTTTAGTTCTTGGATTGCACCTTACCTCCAAAATTTGGGAATTTACCCAAATTTTTCATTTTCTAATATTCCTACAAATATGCAAAATTATGCATATCCCTCAAATCTACCCAATATTAATGTTTTGTTAAACTCTAAATAACAAAAATATGAAATATATTATTTAAATATATTTTAGTTACACACAAGTTGGATGGGTAACTAGTGTGTCAGAGAGTTGCCATAATCTCCTTAAACCCGCATGCGGGTTTAAAGAGTATTCGGATATTCTCATATGCACATATGCAAATCGAACCAACCGGATATCTTATCCGTATCCCATTTTTTTAAATAAAAATCTTATAAATTTGAAAAATAAAATCAAATTTAGATGTATTAGGGTTTTAAAAATATTATATAAGTGATAAAAATTTTATAAATTGTAAAAATAAAATCAAATTTAAATAATTAAATGTTATATTTGTATAAGAAATAATACAATAATCATAATAATGATAATACAATAATATTGATGTAATAAAACTGCCATTAATTTAAATATTTACTTATAATGCCCAAAGAGCCTAATTACCAATTTTTTCTTCTCGCGCTCAAATATAACATTAACCCGCATGCGAGCTAACCTTGAAATAGAAAAAACACAGAATCCCGCTTGCGGGTTTCAGCGTTATTATGCAGGCCGGATTTTAACCTGCTTGCTTGTGAACATGTACCACATTGCTTTGAATTTTTGTGATAAGAGGAAAGCTTTGTCTGATGAATGTATTTGTGAAATGACCTGAGTGGTGGTAGATGGGTTAATTGGGTCGGTTGCGTTACCCAATTGTTTATATCCATAAGTAAAATTTTATGATTCCCATACCCATCTATTCATGGGCGGTATGGTAAATGTAGTTCAATGGACAAGTCAAAAAACGAGTTTGGCAACCCAATTGACAAGTCAGGGGAGGTTTCTGAAATTATCCCTTTTCTAAATTGAAAAATTTGATATGTCAAATTAGAATAGCTATTAGGGCATTACTTGTGAATTTCAGCAGAAGTAATAGGAAATTGAGATAGAAACGACGTAGTTTTGTCACTGGTATAAATGAAATGGAGAAAAAGCGCGGGGAAAAGAAAAAAAAAACGCTGCAAGGAAAATTTTGCCGCTTCACTAAAGTTTGCCCAATACATTTCTCTTTGAAAGGTCTCCGCCTCTTACAATTCACACCAAAAAGTTCCCTCAGTTTCTTCTCCAAATCTAAACCCTTGGACCCTATTCACAAAATCCATCATCGTCAAAATCAATCTTCCATTTCTGCCTCTTTTTTTCATTCTTTAATCCCTACCCTCTCTCTTTCTATCTTGAGTTTTTAGATGCACTCCAATTTGACCAGAAGAAGAGAAGGATGGTTTAGTGGTTAAAAGGTAAGTGTATTATGGGTTTTTGAAAATCATATGCTTTGCCTGCCCACTGAATTATTTTCTCCCCTGTTGCTAGTTTGATTTTTTTTTCTTTTTTTAAAATCTGATTTCTATGTTGAGTATTAATAATGTGATGGAGAAAAACATGGGGCAATATTAAAAGCAGTTGGTTGGTTGATTGATTGCTGGTTTTTTTTTGCTGGTATCTAATGTAATGCCACATAGAATGTGTCCGCCTCCTTGTTTCGGCCTTGGGGCCATCGACAGTACCAATTCAGGACTCAGGAGGCAGTCCCATTCTCCCACCGCGGCCGATTGTTAATATTAAGCAAGACAAACCCATCAAACCCTGCCGTGTGATCTGGTATTTGGCGACTAAGCCCGATCGATCAATTGAGGCTTCCTTTTGCAATCCTGTTGAATTTCTAAGCACCTTTTGCATTTACTTTAGCCTACTGATTCTACAAAGTACTTTGGTAGTCAGGTAATAATACGCTGATACAAAGTATAATAAAGTGTATAAAAATAGTGGTAGAGTTTTTTTTTAAATTCAAGTACAAAAGTGGAAGGGAAAGGGGAAAAATGGATGTCTGAGAATTGAATCAGGACATTATGATTATGTAGTTAATGCTTCTCTCAATCGAATTGGAACTTGGGAATTGGTTTCTATTCCTACGTTAGTGCAACTGGGCTGGCACAAAATATAGGATATAGAATCCCAGGTGCTTTACTTCTATTGACTAGTAACTACTAAGAATGTCAAAGATGGTGTACTGTTCATGTCATTTGGTTTCGGAAAAACATGTAAAATTTGGCAAAGTCAGAACTAGTGAATTGGGAAAAAAGTTAACTGTTAGCAATTGTTTGAGTTGTAGTTGAGTTTCCAAACTTGATTCATATTATGGTAATATGGCAATTAAGTTTACCAGAAAAATAATTGGCACCAATACAGAGGTTTCTAAATTTTAACTTGTAAAGCAAAGTTGGTCCCTCAAACATGAACATAAAATCTTTTTATTTCTTTAGTTTAGATAAAATTCCTGCTATCCCAATGTTTTTTATGAAAATGTTATTCAATGAGAATAATTTGCATTTGTGGTTTTCTGTTCACATGGGGAAAATGTGCATGCCTTGGATCATTTTCATGCATATGTTGGTGCATTTATATATGTACATAGAGAAAGTAAGCTGATGCCTTGTTCTGTTTGCTTCATAATAATGTGCATGCCTTGTTCTATTTGCATAGTAAGCTGATGCATTTATATATGTTGGTGCATTTATATTTTCATGCCCTGTTCTGTTTGTTTCAGAATAATTAGGAAAAGTCATTCAGCACTTTTGGTTCTTTCTCATTTTTTTAAAATATTCTTCAAGAAATTTGCAAGCTGATGTTATTTTTCTTCTTGAATAATTAGAGAAGTACGTACAGCACCTATTCAAAATATTAAAATTTTACTAAAGTTCATTAATGTTTCACCACAGGTTTGAATTAAAGATAGCTATCTGTGAAAAGAAATCATTTTGAAGACGTTGCACATTGATTTCGCTAGAGGTACAAGCCAACTTATATTCTCATGTCTTGTGCTTTTATCTCAAACAGTGACCTTCTCGTTGACTTCCAAATAGCTTCTTGGTATCATAATAATTTTTTTGTTGTATGAGTGATGCTCTTTGTTAATATTATTCTTAATTGCTTTCTTTTGCTTATATATGTATATGTATATGTATGTATGTGTATATTTTAAGGTTAAATTTGTCATGGTTACCGAATATGGATAAAACTTGGATGCAAAAGAATAGACGAAGCAAAGAATATTGGAATGGTTTGCAAAAATTCTTAGATTATGCATTCCAGAATTCAAGTATAAATGGGATGATATTATGTCCATGTAAAGAATGTAAGTGTGGTGTATGTATTACCAGGGAGAATGCAGAACTTCATTTGAAAGTTTATGGTTTTGTTAAAGGATACACCCATTGGGCAGCTCATGGAGAATTTGTTTACTCTAGTGCACCAAAACCTACTTCCTATGATATCTCACATGGGGTACGGGATGAACTTGATGACATGCATGGTTTGGTTCATGATGCAATGGGAATTCCTGAACAAGATTATACAAGGATAGATGGAACTGAATACAAAAGCCAATTGCCCAATGTAGAAGCTGAAAAGTTTTACAATCTAATTGATAATTCTAACAAAGAGCTTTACTCTGGATGTAAAAGATTCTCAAAACTTTCCTTTATGATTCGGTTGCTTCACCTCAAATGCCTTGGTAAACTCAGCAACAAAATTTTTGATATGTTACTTGATTTGTTGAAAGAAGCCTTTCCAGATGCAATGGATGGTTTGCCTAAGTCTTATTATGAAGCTGAAAAGTTAATGAAGGAATTAGGACTTGGGTATGATAAATATGATGCATGTCCGAATGACTGCACTTTGTATTGGGGGGTAGATGCAAGAAGAAAGCATTGTGAAACATGTAAAGAATCTAGATGGGTTAAATCTGAAAATGATCCGACTGGTGAGGGAAGAAAAATACCGCATAAGGTTTTATGGCATTTTCCCCTAAAACATAGGTTACAACGCCTATTTATGTCCTCCAAAATTGCAGGCCATATGAGATGGCATGCAGAAGGTCGTACTAAGGATGGTAACATGAGGCACCCTGCTGATTCTCTATCTTGGCAAACATTTGACTTTCATCATCTAGAATTTTCTCAAGATTCTCGTAATGTGAGGTTGGGCCTAGCATCAGATGGATTTAACCCATTCAAAAATATGAGTTCAACTCATAGCACTTGGCCGGTAATATTGATGCCATATAATTTGCCGCCATGGATGTGTATGAAACAACCGAACTTTATGTTGTCATTGTTGATACCCGGTCCATTTGCACCAGGAAATAATATTGATATATATTTAAAACCTCTCATAGCAGAATTAAAGGAATTGTGGGATGTTGGAGTGAATACATATGATGCATCAAGAAAAGAAAACTTTCAACTTCGTGCAGCACTTTTATGGACCATCAGTGACTTTCCAGGTTATGCAATCCTCTCCGGATGGAGCACTAAAGGAAAACTTGCACTAAAGGAAGAAATCGTATGCTCAAATTCGAAAGAAATTGGTAAATCTTTTAAACCTTTTAGTTTCATTTAGTTTTTTCTTGTATCACCTAGTGGTCTTATGAAGACTTCATTTTCTATAGATGAAAAAATTAGGTCATCTCCCATCACGAGTTGATATGTTCGAACACTGTTATACTGACTCAAACGGAAACCCGGGAAATGATGACGTTGCAGCTACATTAGTAAGTTATTAATTGGTTGATGAAATTAGTACTCTAAATGACTTAAATTGTCTACTAACTTAGGACTGATTTTATCTTCATTAATGTAAGATAATCGACTTTAGTAATATTGAATTTTTTCTGGATTTTAAATACAGCAAGCTTTGAAGGAAAAAGTTAGCCAACTTCCCCCTGGTTCTAATGATGATGTTGGTCGTAATGATGCATTTGCCCAAGTATTTGGGGAAGATAACAATGGGTGTGTGCGCATGTATGGTCTAGGTGTGACACCATCAGACAAATAGGGTAACGTACCTAGTCGCAGCACTTGTCAGCGTATCGTTATGGAGCAAAAGGCAGCAATTTCTAAGATGGAAGATAAATTTGCTGAGCAAGATCAGCAGCTGAAAGACCAAGCCAAAGAACTTGCAGAGCTCAAAGCAATGGTGTGTTAGCAGCAAAATAGTGGCTCAAAAACTGGTGGCTCGATAAATTCAACGTCCTCTAATCATGTTTCAAAATCTCCTATGGGTGCTCGTTCTCTTCAGGTATATTCATGATTATTTTTCAAGAATTTATTGTGATTATACCATATGAGGATACTCACTTTTGTTGTTTGAAACTTGTTGATTCATTAAACTGCTATTTTGTTTGGTTATATTGAATAGTAAAACATGGTAATTTCAACTTAGTAAAGTCATGGTTATTAAGTTTTATTGCTGAAAATTGGAGAAATGCTCAAAATGCAGGGGAAACTCTACCAAATTTTTAAAAAAAATAAATCTACCTAATTCAATTCTATGACTTCAAATTATCTTGTAGGAAGGTGATTGGGTGGATATTTTCAGCTTGTTTGATCCAACAAAATGTCTAGCTATTGGTCGTCTCCAAGGAATTGATCCTTCTAAAGTTGTTGGTGGACAACCATTAGGACCATGTTGGTGTGAAATACTAGTACAAATCGTGATGGAACGCAATGAACAATTGATTAGGCCTTATGGGCTATTGCAAACAATTGAAGATGCACTTGGTGCACCGATTGCTTGGCCACTGAAATTGGTATAATTTGACACAAGATTGTTCAAGTTTTTTTCTTTACAAATATTTGTAAGTTGGATGGATAATGAAGTGGTGTTCTTACTTAATCTACTAATTTTATAGGTGAAGATTCATGAGGATTGACAGTAGCCTTTTGTTTGGAGAAGCAAGAGTTGGACAGCAGCCTTTTGTTTAGAGAAGCAATACTAGTTTTTGAGTTAACTTCAAATTTGTGGAATATTTTGTGTTCTTGAGAATGTTGCTGGATTCTATTGCAAGAGTTGGATGACAGCCTTTTGTTTAAAGAAGTATTAATGCTAGTTTTTGAATTAACTTCAGATTTGTGGAACTTTTTGCTTTATTTAGGATGTCACCAATTTTTTACTTTCAAGCAGATTTATATTCTTTGGCATAGTGGTTGTCTTACAATTGCATATTATGTGTTTGGCGTATTGTATTAGGAGATTAGAGTAGAAAATTTAGATGAAAATTGCACAAAAAAAAGACATCTATTGAGGCACTTGCCAATGCCTACATTGAAACTAATGCACCTAGTAAAACCACGTATCGTGACACTTTTTGAGTGTTTGGAGATTCCTTTTTACAATGGTAGAAAATGCCTTGAAAGACAGGTAAACACTACACTATAAACTGCCTCCATTAATGTATATAATGCACTTCATTGTGCCTAGACAATTACTTTTTGGCAACACGTAAAAGTGTCCTAAAAAGGGCAAAAATGATACCAAGTAAAGTGCCTTTATAGGGCATCTTTAGAGGCATTGGTGTGTGCCTATTTGCAATTTCTATCATGGCAATTGTGAATGCATCAAATTCATTAAACATGACGTTAAAAAACGCCTCCAACCTTTTCCAAACGGGTAGTTTAGTAGACATTTGATGTGTGCGCCTCAATAGTCTAAGTGCCTCTAAAAGTTTCCTATTGCATCATTTTGTTGCGCCTCCAAATATAATTTTTCTTGTAGTGTCTCTTTCCGATGTGGAATATTGATTCACACTTGATATCCCAACAAATCTTTCAGTGAATTAGCATGAGAGAGCATGAGATTGGCTATGAAGGATGCACATATTTGGCAGCTGGTACACTTCTTGTTTGCATATGATATTGTAGCTTATCAATTTGTCATTCTTGTCAAGTGTGCTTTCTCCACATTTTGTGTATCCGACAATCAGCACGATGACTAGCCTTGCAAAAGTGCAAGAAAAGAAATCTATGGAGGATATTGAGGCATTTGGGCTCAGTCTTTGGTGGCTATGGGGCATCTGAGGACACAAGCTTTAAAATTTGTTCAACTACTTCATATAATCTTGTTTCCCTGTTGGACTAAATGAGTAATTCAGTATGTTTACCCATTCCATTTCCTCATTGGCATATCTTAAACTGAACACTTTTAACAAATTCCATTCTGGATTCTTTATTAAATTTCAAGTTTTAAAGAGAATCTGATGTAACGTTTCAGATTTGATGTCACAAGTAACACTAAAGGTCACCTGGAGAAGCATTTACACAGACTATTTGGAGGGCAAATCTCAATCAGTTTCCCGTCAGAAAATCAGCACCAAGTAAGAAGCTGATTTTTTCTCTTTTTTTTTTTTATGTGAATATCAAAATTTAATACACAAGAAATTATGTAGTTCTTCAGATTAATTAACGTGATGCTTGACAATAATGTTTTGCCACCAAACGGCAATAGCCTTTCTACTACTGCCATGTAATCTTGCCTTGACTATCAATCACTGTCTAAATTTCTTAATAAAAACTTCTGGGGTCATACTTAATTATTAACTTAGTATTCCCCCCTCCGAAGTAGTACTTTTCTTTAAGAATAAAATTTCATTCACAAATCAATATCTTCGTAACGAATCGTGGGGTAAGACGAACGTATACATTTGAAAGTATACATCATGAAATATGCATGAATGAGTCTCCCTAAGGAGAACCAAAGGTAGAAGAGAACCGGGGGAGATAGAATTCAAGACCTGCATTTTGGTAGTTGCCGGCCCCCTAACTAGTACAAAGGCTAAAATTGTGAGAACTGTACTTTGAATTTTTTACGTATCCTCTTCGAGTCTGTATTATCATCGTAAATACTTCGGTTTCTTGAAAATTAAAAAGGGTTCATATTACACCAGCTAGCGACCAAGACAGACTGTGCAAGCCACTACGGGGGGAAAAATGTTAAGCCGTACAAGTTAATTAATTAGTCAGCGGGCACAAGCCATCCTATCACATCATCTTAGGGAAAAAAAAAGAGGTTCATTTAACCATTTATCAGCCAAAAGCATCAATAATAAGTTTAAGTTTTATTTGGAGGAGAGATAGGTTAGATGGTATCAAGAGAGGAGAGTGTAAGTAAGGGTTTTTGTATTCAAATTCTCTCAGTTATAATAAAAAAAAGGTTTAAATTTTATCTTCCTTCGAAACTGTTAGCTGTAAAGTTGGCTATAAAGCTGGTTAAGTAGTTTGGTGGGCACAAGCTATCCTATCATATTACCCTCAAAATTAGATAAATGAAATTAAAGTTAAAACCATCACCAAATTATACTATTTGTCTAGCCATGGAAAATTGAATTGCTATCCAACCTATCATATAAATCTAGCTAATAGTAGTGAAGCCTAACATCCACTATCTACCAATGAAAAAAAAAAAGAAAAATTGACCCTTTAGAGAATGGTCCTTGTTTGATCAATTTTTTGTTATATGCCATCAGAATCATGTCCTTCATGAATGGTTGGAAAACAAAACCGGTACCGTTGGAAAAACCACAAATTCTTATCCCCATCCTAGCTTGTCTACCACCAATTTGATGTGTAGTGCAAAGCCCACAGAAGTTTTGTCCTACAAGAATTTGATTGGAATCTTTTCCAGTGACGAGGTCCATGTCAGCCATACCCTTATCCTTGCGAGGGCGACAGGGGTGGTGTTAATTTGGCAATAAAATTTCTTTGTCGGTTGACATCTACCTTCTATTCCATGGAAATGCTTGAATAAACATCAAAGGGCACTTGATTGATGGTTAACAATGCTCAAAAGTTACTTTCTCTCTCTCTCTCTCCATTTGGGGTCAAGTTGATTTGTTTCTGGTGAAAATTCATTAAGGATTTGGAAGCTAATCTTCTTCCTTTGAAGCAGTGCATGTGTAAAATAGTATTGTCAGTTCACAGTGAGCTAATAAATGTGAATTACTAGTGTAACATGAGGTAGATATACGATCAATAATACATGCATATGTAGTTTATGCTATTATTTGAAGGATTAATTTTTTATATTCTAACATTATATACATATACACTATTATATCTGGATGCATGACAAGTAATCTTAATACATATTAAAATTCAAGTTTTATACATATAAAAGTGCATTTAAATTCAGTAGTCTATATAATTGTCATTATGTATACAAGATTAATCGTTCTTATAATAGGAAGCATATTCTAGTACTAAAAATATGGACAAATGATATTGCCATGGTCTAGTATAATGATTTTAAGTACTAAAATTAATTATCCTTCCAATGTCCTAAAATTGTCTTTGGGAGAGTAATGTAAAACAATTTTATTGCAACACTGTGATTATGAACATGTGATATATCACCATCCACAAATCTATCGACAGCAATTGCCCGGATTTGTTCCCCGAAATGCTCATCAGTTATTTCTAAAAAGCGAAAAGTTTAGATTCATCTGCTATTTCAAATGATTTTCATGCTGGAAGGTACTTTCAAAGGTAACATTTTTGCCCATTTTCATTGAAAGCTTAGTGCTATTGAGCATTTAGTAGTTAGTACTGCTAGTAGTGAAGAATTGTCAAGGAAAGGGACACATCATTCCCATTCATGAAAACGTGGTAGTTTCACCAACTTCCGGTACTCCTTACCGGCATCTCCAATAAATTGCATGCCTGGTTTTATTGTTTGCATTGCATTTTTTTTGAACTTTTTTGTAAAAAAATTATTATAACGATTTGATATATGTTAGCTAACAAAATGATTGAAAATTTTGTCCACGAAAAATGTAGCAATTTTTCTTTAAAAAGAAGCAATCCAAACACACCCTTAATTCTTAGAGGACATTTGAAGTAATTGAAATTAAACTGAATCTCCTCATGTTTGCAGCATACTTTCTTTTCTTTTTTTTTTTTTAACCTTCCCACCTTCCGCACGCCCTTTCCACATCTAACTGTTATGCACGGGATTCGAGCCCTAGACTCGGTGGCTACTCGACCGATCTCAGTAATTGTGTT